CCAGGAACTTCCGAGCCTGTGACCCTTGGTGACTTTGGGCAGGTGACAGCCCTGAGACATGGCTCAATTCAGTGCAGGGGGCTCTGTTTCCCTCCATGTGGTTCATAGGAAGCCTGGGTGAGACCCTTGCTCAGCTGCCCACCTTCACTCAGAAATCAGGAGAAGAAGTGTTTCTGTGTGTTCCTGAAGTAAGGTGGAATGCATTTGCGGTAATTTTGGAGAAAGGCTGATGAAAAGCTAAACTAAGCCAGCAACAGTAAGAAGCAAAGAAGGAGACAGGAGCATGGGAGGGATACTCAGGGGACAAAGTCCATGGGACCCACTGACTCACTGCATGTGAGATTTCATAAAGAAGTCGTGGGGTCCGTGACAGCTTCTTGTTACTTGTTGTTTGGTGCCATCATGTCAGATCCGACTCACAGTGACCTTATGTACGACAGAATGAAACGCTGCCCAGTCCTGCACCATCTTCATGATCATTGGTACATTTGAGTCTATTAGGCGGCCACAATGTTGATCCATCTCACTGAGGGTTTCCCTCATTTTTATTGACCCTCTGCTTTACCAAACGTGATGTACTTTTCTAGCGATTGGTCTTTCCTGATGACATGTCCAAAGGAAGCAAGATGAAATCTTGCCATCCTCACTTCTAAGAAGCATTCTGGTTGTATTTTTTCTAAGACTAAATTGTTCATTCTGCTGGCAGTTCATAGCTTCCTAGGGTCCTGGATGAATAGTGGTGAATTCATCAAGAAAGAGACTACAGAAAGTACAATTTTTTGCATCTCAAATTAGCAAAGAAGAAAAATTATATAATACTCAGCTGTGTATGCCTGAGGAGTCCCTGGGTGGTACATATGGTTAACACGCTAGGCTGCTAACCAAAAACTTAGAGGTTCAAATCTACTCAGAGGCACCTCAGAAGGTCTGGCAATCTACTTCTGAAAAATCAGCTGTTGGAAACTCTACTCTGACACACATGGGATTGCCATGAGTTGGAGTGAACTCAACGGCAACTGGTTTTGACTTTTTTTTTTTTTAATGTATGCCTAAAGACTGGCACTGTCTTTCTACTCCTTGTAGCAGTTTAATAAATTGGTTGACATACATTTGTGGAAGACCACTGGGTCTTTCGAAGGCCAAATTCCTGAAAACATGCATACCTTTGACCCAGCAATTCAGGAGCGCATCCTAAGGAAGCAGAGTTCAAAGGTCTTTCTACAAAAAGTCTATTACTGCATTATTTGTAATGGCAAAATATTGGAAAAAAGACACAAATACCCAGGCATTGGGCTAACAGAGTTTAGAGTCGCCACACAATAGCATGTTAAGAAGCTACTAAAATGACGTGAACAAACATCTACCAGCAAAGATGGATGTACACAATAAATTATTAGGTACAAACAGCAGATAAGGACACGAGAGGTTAACGGGATTAACGTTTGATGATTCTTTGTCCAGCCTGTGGGGTATCTGCATCCTGGTCTGCACAGTTGGACTTGCTTTTGTGGGTGCTGAGTGCTCTGAAGTTCCTCATGCATGTGAAGAACTGCATCCTGGGAGTGGATGTGTGCAGCTGTGTGCAGGGCTGGGGAGGCAGGGACAGACCCCAGGAGGCCGGGGCTGCTGTCAGCAGACATAGAGGGAGCCAGAACAAGCGCCAGACTGGAGAGCTCAGGCTGTGCTGGGAAGGACCTCCAGCCGTGGTGGCCCAGGCAGAGGTGTGAGTGGACGGTGGTCTCCTATGGGTAGGAGTGCTGTGTCATAAAGCAGGGGGAGTCCCAGGTCCAGAGCTTGTCTGTGACCTGAGGCCTGAGCGTGGGCAGTGGTCCCTCAGTGCCGGGCTGGGGGTAACGTCCCCACCCTCTGTCCCTTCCCTCTCCTCAGGGAGTTCTTGTGAGGAGTAATATGAAGTATGAGCCCCTCGGTTCACACAGATATGAGGAAAAGTCTGGAGGATGCTACTGCCCCTGGTTGACACAATGTGATTCTGGCGGTGAGTTTACTGGTCTCGTTCTTCAAAGATCGTGCTTTCTTTTAATGAAAAGAGAAAAAGTTACTCATTTTGTTTTATTAAATGAGAAAGGCCTTGTGAAAACCTTTTAAGATCTGCACCTCTGCCTGCGTGGGTACTTGGCCTGACATCTGATTCTGACCCTGGCCAAGTCGCCTCCTTCCCACTTCATATGAACTTCTAATTAAACTGTGTTTAAGAGATCTGTGGAAGTGAAATCCGCTGTTTCACCGTTACAAGGTTTTCCTTCCCCCCCACCCAAGAATACCCTGATCAGCAGAGCCCCGGTGGTCCAATGGTTAAGTGCTCGGCTACTTATAGAAAGGTCAGTGGTTCGAACCCACCCAGTGGCTTCATGGGAGAAAGACCTGGTGATCAGCTCCCGGAAAGATTACAGCCTAGGAAACCCTATGGAGCAGTTCTACTCTGTTACATGGGAATCACCATGAGTTGGAATCCACTCAACGACACACAAAAACAGCAGCAACAAAAACAACAGCAGCAGCAACAACAACGATAACAGCAGCTGTGGCGGCAGCTTCGGCAGTGGTGGTTCTGCCACTGAGAGGCCAGCAGCCCAGCACGCTGTTCTGACTCCCGACAGCGCGCCAGGCCACAATGGAGTGTTCCACCAGCACCACACACCTCCTCTCTGTGCCCTTCTTGGTGGTCAGGCTCCCCTGGTTTATGCTCCCTGGGCTGGGAGCAGAAGGAGGGCGGGACACATCAGGCCCCTATGAACCGCCAGCCCCAAACACACTAATGGGTGGAGTCTCCACCCCTCTACCTGACTGCCCCAAGATCCTTACAACTTCTTCGCATCTGGGACAACAACCACGGTCACTCCTACAAGAACTCCCTGACTAGAGGGAAGGGACAGAGGGTGGGGATGTTACCCACTGCCTGGCACTGAGGGACCACTGCCCATGCTCAAGCCTTGAGTCACAGACAAGCTCTGGACCTGGGACTCCCGCTGCTTTATGACACAGCACTCCTACCCATAGGAGACCACCATCCACTCACACCTCTGCCTAGGCCACCACGGCTGGAGGTCCTTCCCAGCACAGCCTGAGCCCTCCAGTCTGGTACTTGTTCAGGCTCCTATGTCTGCCGACAGCAGCCCCAGCCTCCTGGGGTCTGTCCCTGCCTCCCCAGCCCTGCACACAGCTGTCATGTCCCTCCTCGCAAGCACCACTCCCAGGATGCAGCCCTCCACACACACACAAGGACCTCAGGGCACTTAGCACCCACAAAAGCAAAGTCCAACTGTGCAGACGAGGATGCAGATACCCCTACAGGCTGGACAAAGAGTCATCAAATCTTAGTCCCGTCAACCTCTCATGCCCTCAACCCCCAAGGACATGGAACTACTCTATTTCCTCCACTTGTAGTGCACACAGGACCCCACAGCTCAGGATGGCCCCCCGAGGCAGCCCCTCCCAGGAGGCGGGGTGGCTCAGCCATACCCGTGACAGCCAGCAGGGGTGGGCTGCCCTGCCTGGCCCCCTGATGGGCACTGTACCCCCAGCTGCTGGCCGAACCAGACCATTCTGGAAAAAACCCAACTGCTAAGCAGGAGAAAAACTCGGACAAAGTTCCTCTCCCTTAATCGTTCATTCTGTTTCAAATTCAAAGTCAAATGAAGAGGATGACCTGGCAAAATGTTAGAGCTTTAATTTCAAATCACCCGTAATGCCCGTTTCATCTGACAGGGGCTTTGAAAGTAAAAGGCAATCGTCACCATTTGAGGTTTTTAAACTAAATTGATGTGATTATGTCCAACATAACCAGATGCTTCTAAAAGCCAATTTTCAAAGCGACATCAACCCCCCAAATACGAAAACCTTTCTTCTGGCTACTAGTAAATTATTAAAGAGCCATCTCCTCAGGAGGACAGGACTCCACTTGACAATCAACGGCTGGAAGACAGCTCCACACATTTCCGCAGACCCAGCTTGGGCCAATGAGACACAAGGGGGGCCCGCTGGCAGCGGAGGTCCTAGAAAGTGTCCGAGAAACAGAGGTCTTTCTCTGCCCCTGTATGTGACACTCAGAGCCTGGGGCAGCCACGTGGCCTCCCTTAGAGACCTCACCTGAGTACCAGCCCGTAGACATGCCAAGAACCACGGAGACAGAGCCAGAAAGGGCCAGGACCCGGAAGAAGTTTCCTTGGCAGAGAGGGAAACAAACCTCCTCATGGCTAATGCAGTTGGGGTGAGATCTATTTGCAGCCAAAGGCATCCTGGCTATTCTAACATTCTCTACAGACCTTCCTTGAGTGCACAAGTATAACATGTACACACACACACACACTCACATACATACACACACTCACCCCCACAGAGACACACACTCACCTATACACAGACACATTCATCCACATACACTCCCACACACATACACAGAGATACTTACAAACGCACTTATACAGAGATACAATCACAGGGACATACAGCTACTCATACTCACACACAGATGCACTCACACACACACAGGCACACTCACTCATACACACAGACACAAAGACACATACACACACTTACAGATACACTGACACACACACACTCACACACACAGACACACTGACGCACACTCACATGCTGCCACAACCAAGGTCCTGATTCTCACACATGAAGCGGTCGCCAGAGCCCACACATCAGCTGGAAAATGGAACCAGCCCTGCTCTGAGCACCGATTCTTTCTCAAAGAGACACCAGGCCTCGGGTTCCAGCTCCCAGGCACCCAGATGGCTGCTCGGCGGGCACTGAGACTCCCAGCAAGATGTGGCCTCAGGTGTGTTTCCTGTCACATGGCAGCAGTGGGCGGCCACTCTTGCCCTCATGCCCAGCTCGAACTCACTCCCAGACAAGGCCAGCAGCCGGTGCAGCAATGCAGGCCCACAGCAGAGCCGGGTGGGCTCCCACTCCCATCTGAATTCTCTAAGCGCGCACCTCCCGGAGTGTGTTGCTGGGGCTGCCAGGCCTACCTGCTGGTGATGGAGCTGTTCTTCTCCTTCAGGGCAAGCTCTCTCTGCTGTAGTTCCACAACAAATCTGGAAAGGTCGTCTGGGGTCCTGGAGGAGAGAGAAGGCACAGTCAGGCCCAGCCGTTCCCTGGAGGTGGGCCTAGTTCTGCACCCAAACGGAGAGCTGGGGTCCATGGCAGAGTAAGGATGCAGGCCCTGGGGAAGCTCACTATTGCAGCCCTGTGGGAAGGGCAGGGCAGGTGACACAGCAAAAAGGCAACAGCCTCGGTCTCAACCAGACCTGCGTCCAAATCCCAGCCTGCCATGGAATTTACAACACTGGGCATATTACTTCTATAAGCCTTGATTTTATTGTGCCTGAAAACACAGAGATAATACATACCAAACAGTGTCGCAATGGAGAGGAGATTGAATAATGTTGAAAAAGCACCGACCAAGTGCTTGGCACATAGTAGATGCTCAACCAAGTTTAGTTCCTTCCCCCAATGCTCAAAATATCCACAGAAAACACAATGGCAATAATTGCAGATCTCCATGAACAGAATGCTTTCAAACATCCAAAATGATTCCAGATTACCTGTTTCAGTTCATCCTCAGAGGACTGTTGCTTTTTATTGTTTCCATTCCATTAATGAGGAAACTGAGGCTCAAAGAAATGAAATGGACCTCTGGGTGGGTTCGAAGCACCGACCTTTTGGTCAGCATTCGAGTGCATAAAGTGTTTGTGCCACCCAGGGACTCCCTGAAGGGTACAGAGGGAAGTGGATAATCTTTTCCTCTAATGGCTTCATGGGTGGAAAAACCTGTGGCTACAACTTTGGCTAAATCACGATGATTTAGCAGAGTAAGCTCGATGATAAGATCCCAGAATTTCCAACTGGACAGTTCATCCTCCACTCAGAGCAGAAAAGGGCAGGAACTTCCCTACCAGGAAAAAGGGTACCTGCAGCCGCCGTCTAGACAACCAGCTGACTTGCTCACGGACGCACTTCTAAGCACGTGTCCCACAGCCCTCAGACCAGGCACAGGGCAATGTTGTCCTGACACCTTCAGAGACCCGCTGACGTCAGGGAAGGAGAAAAAGACAGGGCCTTCAGAACAATCCTTGATGCAGATAATCCAGCCCAATTTTAGCAGTGAAATCGGTAAATAAGAACCAACATGAGTAACAGGGAAGGTGACGTGTGACCGAGCCCAGACAGCAAGGAGGCACATGCCCCAAGGATGCCAATTCCTGGGTCACGAGGGCCATTCATTTATTCAGAGGCCTCAGGAACACATGCCCAATGCTGGTCCATGGCCACCCTGGGTGCAGGGACAAGCCCCAGGCCTGAGCTCCAGAAGCCCCCTCCTCACAGACACCACCTCAAAGGCAAACAGTGAGACTCCACTTACATACCAGAAATTACACATGCAACTTCATACTCCTAGGTACAAGAAAGTATGTAAAGCATACCTGTGCATACTTACAGGAAAAAATCTAGGACAAGTCACCCCAAGTTGACACAAGTGGTACCCCCAGGCTGGGGCGGGATTGATGACAGGGATCAAAGGATCTCCAGCTTCATGTGCATCGTGTGACTCTCACAATGAGGATGCACGTGTTATGTATATGAGCCCAAAGAAAAGGTAAGGAAAAACACACAGCATGCTTTCGTCGTTGGGTGCCGTCGCTGTCGTTGGGTGCCGTCGAGTTGATTCTGACTCATAGTGACCCTATATGACAGAGTAGAACTGCTCAACAGGGTTTCCTAGGGGGTAATTTCTGCAGAAGCAAACTGCCAAGTTTTTCTCGCACAGAGCCTCTGGGTGGGTTCAAACCGCCAAACTTTGAGTTAGCAACCAAGCACATAACCACTGCACCACCAGGGCTCCTTTTCACAGCATGGTGGATATGTGGAAAATGCTGGTGGGAACCCTGCCGGGAGCAGAACGGAAACTGGGGCAGAGATGTGGTGCCACTGGTGGACCTCAAGTGCAGGATGAGCTCCAGGAGCCTGGGATAGAGTGGGGCATTTGGAGGAGGAGGAAGAGGAGGGGATGAGTACATGGGGTCTTAAAAGCTTTCAAGCAGCCATCCAAGGCACTACAATTGGTCTCTATTAGCCTGAAGCAACAAAGGAAGAAGGAGAGTCAGGAATAGGAGGAAGATATGGAATGTGTGGCTAATTGCCGCCATGAACAGCTGCCACCTTTGCCATGAGACCAGAAGAACTGGATGGTGCCTGGCTATCATTATTGAACATTTCGAACAAAGATTCTACAGAAGAATCCTGCTCAAAGTGGGAGAAATACAGTTCCAATTCACATGGAATCCAGACTTTCTGGAGCCTGGAAGCTGGATGAACCCTGAAACTATTGCCCGAGATAATCTTTAAACCTTAAACCAAAAATATCCTCTGAAGTCATCTTAAAACCAAACAATAGTTCCGCTTCACTAGTAAAGAATGTCTGCCTTGAGCACTGTGCTCTTTTAAGATCTATCTTTATGGGATCAAATCGACAACAGCAACTCAAAAGATTAGATAGGAAACTCAGGAGGCAGTGAGTTTATGTTAATGGGGAAGCAACAACTCAGAAAAGGAGGGTGAGAATGGCTGCACAACTCGTAGAATGTAATCAATGTCACTGAATCGTATGCGTAGAAACGTGAATTGGTGTACGTTTTGGCTGTGTATATTCTCAACAACAACAAAGATAAATAAATACAACAAATTATTAAAAAGAAAAAAGAAAAAAGCCTGGAATCTGAACCTAATCCTGTGGGCAAGAAAGTCTGAGCTATGCTCCCCACAACCCCGATCTGCTGTTGTGGGCTCCGAGTGGCAGGGCAGGGCGTCCTCTGCAAATCGTCCAGAGCTGCTCAGTCAAGTCGGATGACTCGACCACTGTCGGCCTTCGCCACATCTCAAATCAGACCACAGGCCTGAACTCCAGCTGGCAGACGGAGTGTTGATTCTTCGAAGCTCCTGACCTGCTGGGCGTTGAAGCTACTCAGGATGTTTACCAAGGTGCTCAGGGGATTAGCGGGATGCTTGTAACAAGGAGGAGCGCACCAAGTATCATCACACCCTAAAAATAATGCTGAGTACACATACAGAGAGATCAATCCGTTCCAAAACTTCCACTTCACTAACTAAAGAGTGGGAGGTCTCTGAGGGCCAGTCCCCTGGCTGGAGATGACAGAAGTGACAGTTTCAACCACAGCCCAGGCTGTGCGGCTGCTGCTCACGACTCCGGCTTCAGCTGCGAAGCCTTTCAACTTGAACTGGCGGGTTTTAGAGGGAAAAAAGCCTTTTTGTTCGATCTGCAGCTGAATTTTGACTCAAGCTCAGCTGCATGCAGAGCGGTGGAGGGTTTGCAGGGAGCCAAGCCATTGGTTTATTTCTGCAGTAAAAGCGGCCCCATCCCAGCAGCAGCTATTTTGGGGCTTCTAATAGCAGATGCCACGGCACCCAAGGGCCAGTGTCAATGAGGCTGAGGGACGTGGGATCCCAGGACGCCAATTTTTAAATGAATGGAACAGCAACAACCATGGAACTAATTAGCACAGAGGACTTGCCAGCGCTCATCGGAGGTACTGATTTTCTGAGAATAGAAGCCACTGGCACCTATGGCCACAGCCCAGAACTGCTTAGGACAGGCCTTAGCCACCGAGAGCCCAACTGCAGACAAGATGCAGCCTGGGAGATGGGCCTTTCTGCAGGGCTTGCTTCTAGGAAGAGGTTGCAGGAACTAGAACAGAGAACGTGACACAGCAAACACTTGGTGCTAAAAATCTCAAGGATGAGAGGCCTTCAGGGCTGCAGAACCGTATGCACAACTGGATGTCATGTTAAACCAGGTTTCCATGACAACGTGTATACAGCTATCTGGAGTGGGGGTGGGGAGGTGCACGTTACCAAGGCCTGACTTGAGACAACACCGGAACAGAATCCCCAGGATGTGGGAGGAGGAGGAAGAGGAGGAGGAGGCCACGTTGTCTTGCAGAAGAGTAAAGAATTCCATGTAGCTCAGCAGCCTGAACCCGAGCCAGGTGAGACACGGAGCCACCTCAGAGCTGTACCTGTAGTACCCAGCCCATCTGAGCTGGAGGAAAGGAAAGCAACGGGGTCCCGGGACCAAAGGCGGCAAGCTTCAGGGAATATAACAACGGTCATGTGCTCCGTCCATCATCTGAGCCCAGGGCCACTCCATGACACCTTGGCCACCAAGCAGACAACGACATCCCCACATCTCCTACAGTTGCCCAGTCCCTGGATGGACAGGGAACAAGTCGCTCTTCACCCCAGAAAGGAGCCAGCGACAAACGGCAACCTCAGACACCAGGTGTTCTGTCTTTTTTCTGTCTACTCCCATCCAGACGTCCAAGTACCACAGCAGCAAGCAGCCCTCACCACGATGCCACCCCAGACCACATCAACGGTCATCTTCTCAGAGAAAAGAGGTCCACCTCCCTACCAGGCACACCGACTGACCAATGTAAGACAAGAGAGGCACACAAGGCATATGCTTCTTGAAGTTTCTGCCTCACAAAATCAAGTTAATGTCTGTCAGTGGACTTCACTTTCACCTGAGAAACAGACCGATGCTCTCTATTTCCCCATTCTCCACGTGGCCAACAGTCTCCACGAGGTCAGCTGGCAGGGCTGCACCCAGTCCACATGCAGTCCTCTCTCTATCATCATCTTAAGTCTCCTAGAGCTGCTGTAACAAATACCACAAAATGAGTGGTTTTAGAGAACAGAAATTTATTTTCTCACAGTTTAAGAGGCTGGGAGTCTGAATTCAGGGCACTGGCTCTATGGGAAGGCTCACTCTGTGGGCTTTGGAGGAAGATCTCTTTTCTGTTTCTGTAGACCCAGCATTCCTTGATTCCTTGGCAATGATCTCCATGTGGCGTGTATCTTCCCTCTTCTTCTTGTGTATTTGTTTGTTTCTGTGCCTAATCTGCTCTTTTTATATCTCAAAAGTGATTGGTTTAAAACTCACCCTACAACTGTCACATCAGCATAAGAAAGGAAGCCCTATTTTCAATTGGGATCATATCCACAGGTATAGGGGTTAGGATTCCAGCACATATTTGGG